TGTTAATGCCATCTCCATCAGGGTGTTAAAACTTCCCAAAAGGTGAGCATTTTAGAGATGACAAGACTGAGGCTTGGAGAGGCTGAGGCCTTCCTAAAGGTCCCTCAGCTAAGCAGCCTACTTTGGATTAATCTGTGGCTCCCTGACTTCACAGCCTGTGCTCTCTCCACAGTGCCAGACTGTCCGTGCTCACAGGTGACCATCTGTTTTGTTCAAGAAGGAAGTTAAGCTACTGGAAGATATTGTAGAAGTTTGGTTCTTGATGTTGTTAGCTAAGGCCTATTTCCATTTTGTACTTGGCCCTAGGGCCTTAGAAATAGTCTTTGTTCCTACACATGCCCTTCTTGGGTTTTGACATAAAGCTTGAAGTGTTTATCAAGCCCCTTTAAATTTGAAGAATTTGAACTCTGATCTCCGTGTTCTTGATGCTGAACAACCACTGGGATCCTTGTTCAGATCTTCCTTTCAGGTGTTTTCCCACAGGATAGGAGTTCCATCCTGTGCACACTTTGTCAGCCACAGATTTGAAGAAAGTCTGTGCTCAGATTTGCAGGATCCTCTGTGGCTTCCTCCTTTCTGGGATTTCCTCCCTTGATTTCCAGCCACTGTGTGCTCCCATATAAGACTGCCAACTGCTCAGTCCAATATTACAGTCACTATCTGTACAAACTCTACCTCTAGTGAGCTGTGTGCACAAGGAATGCTCTCCTTGAATACTCACACAATACTCTGTGTGCATAAGGGAAAAGCTTTGATCTTACCCAGAGAAAGCCCTTCTTGCCCTCTTTATGAGACAGAGATGGTTATTTTTGACATGGTTTCACTAATTTATGATCCTTTTGCCTTAGCTCTCAATTAGCTAAGATAGAGCAACTATGCTTGGAGTGTTCAGATTAGCCTCCCAACCGGTGGTGCTATCTAGGTGCCATAGCAGCTGGACCTGAAGGTCCTTTTTTAGTAAAGGTGAAACTCCTGTATTTTCTATTTTCTGTTACTTGTCCACTCTTCAAAAAACTTTGTCCGAAGGTTTTTTTTTTTTTTTAAGAAAGATTTTTGCTATAGGGCATGTGTACTTGTTAGAGAGACAGAGAGCGATGGAGACAAAGCGAGAAATCACTCCACAGTGGGGATGGCCACACCACAATCCCTTCCCCTCCATTCGGTATCTCGGGCAAGCACACACACATCCAGCATGAGTTTGAAGCTGTCAGTTCCAGGACTTGAACCACGGTTTGTTAGGTGGGAGTCCAGTGACATACCATTATGCCATCTGCTGGTACCCTTTGTCCAAAGTTATTAAGGTTTAGTCTGATATTAGCTAGTCTCCTATAGCTGGAAGCTAGAACAAACCATTTTTTTTGGTTAATATTTCCTGATCTATGTGAGAGGTTTAAGATTATGGAAATAGCACCATAGTCTTATTTTACTACCTAGAAGGGAGGTCAAGTTAGTTACCCTTTGGTTTCCTTTACCATGGGGGCAGGCGCCACCATGCCCATCCCTTTAGTTTCCTTTAAAAGAAGGGCAACTTCTCACCCACCTTTCACTTGTGACTTTAACTCCTCTGAATATCCCAACTTTGTGCCAAGGTCTTCAGTCCAATTTCAGAACCTTGTTGAAGACCAAGATCTAAGCTCCCATTTCCCAAACTTTAGAAGATAAAGGGCTTCCACATTTAATAGTTATTATTATGGCTCAAGTTTATAATTTTTCAAATTTTTCTTGGTCTCTAGAGATTTTTCTATATTTCCTTGTGTGCTCAGTTCCACTTAAAAGCAGATTTGTTGCAATTTATTCAGTCTTTGTGTGTTGCATAGCCCCAGAGGACTTTTTAGAAAACCTTGATGCCAGCTGGGTAAATACTTTCATTTCCCCCAGCATCTTATTGAGGTACAATTTACATACAGTAAAATGCATATATCCTAATATAGCTCAGAGTTTTTAAAGTAATACACACAGTCATTACTCTCTGTCCTGGTCCTTTCCAGTCTATACTCACTCCCAGAGATAATCATCCAAGATTGGTTTTGCCTGTTCTTGAGCTTTATATAAATAAAGTGTTTCTAGCTTTCCTTGTTCAACATGTTTAGATTTATCTCTATTATCAGTAATTCATTCTTTAATTTGTGAGAAATTGGTATCTGAGCATTGCTCAGTCTTCTCACCCATGAACATAGTGCACCTATCTACTGCAGTGTTTTATAATGTTTTTTGGCACCACTTTGAAGTTTTCAGGGTAGAGGTCTTACACATCTTTTGTTAACTTTCTTCCTAGATATTTGACATCTTTGATACTATTATAAACAACATATTTTAAAGGTGAATTTTCAAGTGTTTGCTGGTAAACAGGTGGGTATAAAACTGAGTTGTATATTTTTCCTCTCATTCTGGAAAAGTATTACTTCTGGTAAATATATCAAGCAAATGCTTGAAGAAATCAAATGGAATAAGTGTTACATAACAAAACAGATTTAGTTTTTCAAATGGGATAAAAAAGCAATTCATTCTATTCAACTTCTCATAGTGATAACTCCAGAAACACCACCTTCTGAATCTTTCTGTCCTTTGAGGAACATGTAACTATTAATTTTGCTCTTAGCATATTTCTTAGAAGTTCATGAGAGCATTAAGTTGTTTTTCAGCTAAATGTGGAATAAGGAAATGAGGATACACACACATTGCCCTCCATTTGCACAAGAGTGAAAAAAGTACTATTTCTAAAGAATGCCAACTAGGATGGGAGATTTGTTAAAATGAATATATTTGTGAGACTCAAATTATCCTTAACTGTCACAATTATGAATTCTTCACCAGTCACATAATACTCTAATCTTCTCATTCTATGCTTTCTTTTTCATTCATTCTTTTTCTTCCCAATTTGACTGTCAGTAGAGTGATTACCATCTGCTAATTACAGACATGATGAACAGGGATCCACTTTAACTTCAAATAAAACCAATGTATAAGGCACCAACTATTCAGGAATATTTTATATTTTTGAAGTATTTAGGAACTTTTTAATTAAAAAAAAAAAGAAAGGCAATGGGATTATCCACCAGGTTCTCAAAGTATCCATGAATTAATTCACTCTCATCCCTCAGTTAAAAAGCAAAACAGAACCTTAAATCACATTGCTATTAAGTTTTCTTACAGTAAAGAATAAGACCAAGCTAAGCTGGAGTACAAAAACCTGAAATTCTGAGCATGAAAATAATTTATTGATTAGACATCTGGTTTATTCAAGCATTAGGCCTACTGAGGACAGAATTAACACAGCTCATGGAGTAGGGAAAAAAAAAAAATTCCATCCAGCATTCTCTTCCCTTCAAAATTTCTGGAGACGGTTGTTTATACATTCTGTACTATAGCCTCACCCTAAAGTATCGCATGTGCTTAATGTTGATTAACTTGAATAGGATATGAGAAACTGTGTGTACAACTCAACTTGGCAAGTATCATTAGTGACTTTCATCAGAAACATTCTTAGGCACAAGAAAGAGCACTGCCTGCAGTGAGTCTTTTATAATCAAGGAAAAGAATACCATTAAATATAAGCTTACAAACAGGAAGGAAAAGATGCACTTCTGCCAATGCAGTGCTTTACATATCAAGAAAAATGTCACAATGAGATTTTCTTTCTATGATGTTAAAAGATGAACTGTTAATAAACTCTTAACTGATACTCAAATGATTTTGTGTTATTAATCAGAGAAAAATAAAACCAGTTTAACCTAAATAGAATTCAGGGAAGAAATGCAGGACTAGTATTATGGAATAATAGCTGCACTTCTTTGGCTAACTCATTAAGAAATATCAATTAAACATTTTCAGTCAAATTTTATTAAAAAAAAAGCAGCAAATCAACATTACAATTCAAGAATCTAATCTAAATATGCACTTGACAATGAAGCACATCTGGTATGGAGTGAAAAAGGTTTTCCAAAAACCCATCAAATATATTATCTCCAAATACCCAAATAATAAATCACTTCTGCAGACCTTTTGTTATGTGGGATTATAAACTAAGAACTGAAGGTTTATTGCTGTGAAACAAATCTGTAGTACAGTAGCATGAATCTTGGGTATTAAGTATAATCAATTGAATCAAGGTAAGAGGTTGAAAATGTGATAGGAAATTTTTTTTGTTTATGATTGTATGTGTGTGTATATGTGTGTGTGTTTGTGTGTGAGAGAGAGAAAGAGATTTATGAGAAAGTCTATAAGCCCAGTTGACCCAAGAGCAACTGAGTTATCTAACTTGTTCATTTGAGACCAGACATTATGTTAAATCTCCATGTTTAAAAGGCAATTAAAAATTACAATTCCAATAGCCCACAAACCAAATAAAAAAAATAGAAAGAAATTAAAACTATGTTGAAAGAGCCTTTTTTTAAACAGCTCAATTTCAGCACCCCAAGGAAAATAAAAGCATCCATGACTATCACAGATGAAAACAAAATGAATGTCATTGGAATCAGTTATTTTTTTCCCCACTGAGGTATAAAATCTATATAGAAATTTGATACTATACTATAACAAATTGTACTTCTCTTAGTTCTGTTTTAATTTCCTTTAAACCCTGTTTTATATAGTTTTTATTATTGTAAAAATGTTCTTTTCATGATTCTGAATCTGGTTCCAGTTCTTTATTTTTATATCAATATTTAGTTTACTGGCTACCAGTTCTAATCAGGAAAAAAAAAACCTTGGACATCTCTTCATTGTGACAGCACACTTAGCAGAAAATACCAACGTGCAAGCAGACCAGGAACGGTGCAGCTCTCCAGAAAGCACATTTTGTTGATTGTTTCACTGTCTGAATGTTCTTTCCCGTCGTTCTTGATGAAAGACTCTTCCAGTCTTGTAAACATCAGTGTGCACAGTCTCCCTACTCTGCAGCTTCACGTCCGTTGACAGGAAGGCTGGTTCACAGCTAGTGAAAAGCTAGAGGAGTCTAAGTTTTAATGGCTGGTAAAACTTACATCCTGCAGAGGAAAGCACTTTTCCTTTTTTGCTACTTAAGAGTGTGGCAGAAATGTATGGTGAGGTAGCCCAGTCAATCTGTATTTTTTTCTTTCTTTTTCTTTTTTTTTTTCCATTTCATAAATTTGGTCTCAGAATATTTCTGGAAGGGTGACATTTCGAAGAAGCCACTGCTGGGACCGGCTTCCGTTGCAGTCTCTAATGCTGGGCACCTGGCTGTCCTCTTCTGTGGCTTTATCCAGGCACTGATTACTGTTCACATGCTGTAGGGTTAATTTCTGAAAGAGACAGAAAACTAGCTTAACATGAAAGTGGAAAAAAAGAAACAAAATAAAATACCTCAACTATCATTTCTGGTTATTATTAAATTTTTTCATAGAAAAATGTTATTTTGGAAAACAATATAAACTATTTAACAGAGGGTCAGTTGGCGGCATGATGTTTAAGGCAACTGGACTGTACATGGCCAACTATATGGTTTGAGTCCCGACTCAATGGTTTGAAAACTATGTCAGGTGTGCATGCATGCGTAACCAAAATCACTCCAGGAGGGAGACATGGAGAAGGAACTGGGCTGTGACCTTCCCCATGGAGGGTGCGTTCTCACTTTCTCTCCTCTCTCTGTCTCTCTACGGTAAGCACCATGCTCTCTGGCAAATTAAAAAAAAAAAGACAATTGTAAAAAGGGGTATACTAAAAGATATATTAAGAGCTATGCGGGAGGCTGGCAGGTGGCATGGTGGTTAAAGGCGCTGGATTCTCACGGTTCAAGCCAACCACGGTTCAAGTCCTGGACCTGGCGGCATGGTTTCTCGCTTTTCTCTGTCTGTTTCTCTCTGATCAAATTAAAAAATAATAATTACAGGGACCAGCAAATGGAGTAATGGCTATGTTGCTGGACTCCCATGCAGTCAACCACAGTTCGAGCACCAGACCCGGTGGCTTTAACTCACGCAGGGTGAATGTGCATGTGTGTCCAAGATCCCAAGAGAATAGAGAAGAAGGGATTGTGGCCTGGCCATCTCCCGGGGGGTGATTTCTAGCTTTCTGTCTCTTTGTCTCTCTCTGTCTTTTTGGTTAGTGTATACGCCCTATAGCAAAAAAGACCCTCTCCAAATAGATGAATAAATAACAAATGGAATTAATTAAACACATAATTCCTTAAAAATAAAGGGGGGGGGCTAAGCAGAAGGCAGAAACACACTGAGATACAGTGGGGTACACTGAATCTGCTGTAACACGACCTAAATTCTAAGTTCCAGTTCTGCCAAAATGTCTGCAACACTATGGGAAACTTGACTTCTTTGTGCTCCAGTTTCCTTAAGAAAAAAAAAAAAAAAAAAGACCAGATTAGTGTGTCCTAATTTAGGATCTTCAACCTATTTTCAAACAGCTGTTTTGAAATTGTTTCATTTCATTCTAATAAAGCAATTTGAGTTAATTCTGTGAATCCAACCTTCATGTTTTCAGAAAATCAGGTCTTTTTTTTTTTTTGAGAGGTTTTTGCTATAGGACACATGCGCTCACCAGAAAGACAGAGAGACAGAAAGCGAGAAATCACCCCCCAGGGGGGATGCCCACACTGCAATTCCTTCTCCTCCATTCTCTCAGGATCTTGGGCATGCACGCACATGCAACCGGCATGGAAACTCAGGTCTTTCTGAACACTGAGTCGTGAGAGTATTGAGCTGGCTGAGACTCAGAATGATCACTCTTCAATCTATGTCTATATCCCTGTGGAAAAGGGAGGTGGCGTGGCAGAGGAAGAACACAGGGATGTGGGGTTAGAAGGTTACAGCCTGAGTAACTTGGGCTTTCTAATTTTTTCAATGAGGATCACTTTACAGCAGTGCCCTCTCCTTTCTTTTAAGCTTTTTGCCATAGGGAGCAGTCCCCTCCTAACTGTGGTTTTACTTCCATGGTACCCATGGTCAACCATGGTTTGAGGTTTATACTCAATACTTTAAAGGTTTCATTATGCTACTCTGGCATGCAGTTTGAAACATAGAAATTGCTTATTTCCAGAATTATATTTAATTAATTATCTCATGTTTAATTAATATTAAAATATTAAATAGAAAATTCTGGAAATAAACAATTCTTATGTTCTAAAGTGCTTGCCAGAGTAGCATGATACTCATTTTTTAAAAGAATTATTTATTTAATTTTATTTATCATTATTATTATTTTTCTTTCTTTT